TTTTGTGCACACTTTATTATTAGTATTATCTGGTTTTGCTGTTCTGAATCCTGCCTGTGGTGTTTCCTCATTGCAAATTTATGAGCTTTATTTATGAAAGCGTTTCCTCAGTGTTTGCTGTTTTTATTGAGGCCTCCATTAATAACTGATTTATTGCTTTGTGTGTGTGTGATGGAAAGTAAAATGAAAAGTGCAGCACAAATAAAGTCTGATTGATTGAGAAATATGGTGGAAACATAAAGGAAAGGTGCAGAGAACTGTAGAGGCAGGACAGCAGGAGTGGACTCTGAGGCCTTTACGTGAACAAGATCAGAACACGAGGAGGGCTGAGCAGGAAGGCAGATGCTTCAGCGTTGCCCTTTATTTATATGCAAAGTGCCAGATATCCAGCAGATGAAACATTGACGATTAAATCGTCAGAGTGTTGCTCACAGCTGACGCTGCATCAGCAACACTCGAGGAGTCAGTGAGCTCTGCAGCAGCGCTCCTCAAACTGGAGCACTTGCAGCTTTCGCCAGTTTTAGCAGCAGATTGAGTCACGTGCAGCTAAACTTGGACCGGCACACCTTCAGGAAACACCTTTTCTGGATCTCCAGGCAGGTCTGGATCACAGAGAAGTAGTCTTTGTAGAATTTTAAACAAATAGATGTATAATTCATGCTGCGATCAGACAGCCTGTACTTGCGTTGACGCCCCCTAACGTTCTGATCGCACGCTAATAGCTTTGAGATTCTATGGTGATGCTGCACGTGCCTCGCCAACTGCTTCCAGAAACAATAACATTGTCTGTCATCTGTTTGTCCGCTCGCCTGCTTTATGTGAGCTTCAAAGGCCCGCATTCAATCCCAAACCCCCTTGAGCTAATGAAGTAATGAAATCTAATGAGGCGCGCAGGACGACTCTATTGTGCTGCGGCGAACGCAAAAAAAATAAAAAATAAAAAAATCATTTGCTTGTCGTTTGTTTCAGCTTTGCTTTGTGGTGTTTTGGACGCCTCATGTGTCAGAGAAGATCCTGGTTGATGTCATTGGAGTGGAGTACACTTTCGCTGAGCTGTGCGTGGTCCCGCTCAGAATCTTCTCCTTTTTTCCTCTGCCAGGTAAGACGCACCATCACGTTTGTTATTCAACATCAGAGCCCAGCCGGATTCTTTTTTCCCTTCCTGCTGTAGCTTTAACTGCAGCTCGGACCAGTGGGGTGATGTTTCCTCGTGTGTGTGTTTGCAGTGACTGTTCGGGCTCATTTGACTGGATGGCTCATGACCCTGAAAAAGACCTTTGTGTTGGCCCCCAGCTCGGTTCTCCGCATCATTGTCCTCATCACCAGTCTAGTTGTGCTGCCTTATATGGGGTAAGTCAACACTTCAGAGAACACTGAGGCTCACACAGGTCAGCGCTGGGACTCAGGATTACTGCTGTTTAATACAGTGTCATGTGTACGTGTGATTTCCTGTTTTATTACTGAAGCACTACAGACCAGAATTCACTTCTACTCAAAATAATCAGTCTGAACGGCTTCACTTTAACACAATCCTTTTGTATTTCAGGGTTCACGGGGCCACACTCGGGGTCGGATCCCTCTTAGCCGGGTTCATAGGGGAGTCAACAATGGTTGCCATAGCAGCCTGCTATGTTTATCGACAACAGGTGAGCACACCTGGCTTGAGGTCATTGCAAACATGAGAGTACACACCTTAGTTTGTGCCTTTTACAGATCAGTACCCAGCCATGTTGAACCGGCTATGTTCATCACCATTCATAATTCTGCCATTTAGTTTTCAATTCGAGTCAAAAAACTTGATTTGTCCCCTGGCACACAGAGCAGTTAGACACAGAACAGTAGCAACAACATGTAATAGTTAAAATAGGATAAATTAAAAAAATGTTAAAATTAAACATGAGTATGCTGAGATAAAGTAAAATATCGTATTGACAACAACTAACGTACATAAGGTGGTAAAATGGTTTAGTGGTGCAAAGTGACTGTACACGAATTAGTTTGAATAAGGAAAGTAATTCATTAATACACAAGAAAGAAATATCTGTCGACATCTTTCATTGCAGATAGTCTATGTTTTGGCTGTGAAAGCTAAAAAAAAAAGGCCATCTTTTACACTAAAAATTGCATTTAAAGGACAAAAATGGCGTTGCAGAGAACATAAAGAGCAGCTTTAACACTACACTTACTGAGTGTGTCTCTGATTGATGGGGTGGGGGGGAATTAATATTTATTGGTTAGCCCAAGAAATCTAAAATGCATCATCCATTGTGCCAAAATGACAACATTTTTAGACAGTTTTGTAAGTTTCTCTTTCTTACTTTGTAAAGGTGCTGTGAACACTTTGGGAAGTTTGTGTTATTTCATAGTTTTACTTGCAACCAGCAGCCTGTTAGCTTAGCTTAGCATAAAACACTGGTAACAAGGGGAAACGAAATCTGCCTGGCAGCGTCTTTAAAACTCACTAATTAATACGTTACAGTTTATTTGTTTAATCTACACAAAGAAGTGATTGTAAAAGTGACTAATTGAGTTTCTGAGACGATTTCTTGGCCGGACACCGAGAACTCCGGGAGTTTCGGCTGGTTGCTCGGCAACATCACAGCGAAGTCACTGTGTTCGGCCAAAAAATGATCTGGAACTTGATTCCCCGTAAAAAAAAAATAAAAAAATAAAAATTCCTTTTTCACACATTTATGATACGGATTAAACTAAATAGATCTAATGTGCTAGTTAGTGAGCCTTTGAGGTGCTGGTAGGTGGGTTTTGAACTGAGCTAAGCTAAGCTAGCTGTTCCCACTAATTTAAAGTCTTTGTGCTGCGTTGGTTGTAGCTTCATACTGAATGGACACAGACGTCATCAAGAATCTCTTGTAACTCTCATCAAGAAAGCCGAAAAAAGTAAAAAGAGGAAACTTTTCTGTCAATACCAAGAACACTGAAGCATTTGCCACATCTCTGCTGCTCACATTTGTTGTATTTAATTCACACAACTCTGTATTTAATGGGCCATTTGCTCAGAGTGATGAGTTTTTTTTTAACTTGTATAAGATCCCAAAATGGACCTCCTTACATTTTAATTTGCAATGAGTCATATCTAGCAACTTGTACCAGCAGATCGTGTTTTTTTAGCTTATCAAGTTTGTGATTAGCACTGTTAATCTCTGGTTGTTCCAGTACCTTTTCTCCTTGGACTCTCACAGATTGTGTGTTTTTGTTTGTTACCTCCTCTCTGGTCCGCCACAGAAAAACAACGAGATGTCCAACGAGCTGGTGGTGGAGGGCGAGGACTCGGCCCCGATGAGCGAGGTCTGCTCCAGGACCCAGATGGACGCCATCGAGGAGCTCCAGGAAGAGGAGGAGGAGGAGCAGGAGTGAGCTCCAGCAGCAGGAGGGGGAGGTGACGCCGGCCTCAACGTGGAGCTTTGCTGAAGAGGAGACCGCCGGGAGCTTCGGTGCTGGAGAGGAGAGAGGACCTGAGAGTGGTTTTGGTTTCAGAGGTTCTCAGACAGAACTGAGGTCTTCTTCATGTCGACCTACACACCATTAAAACGCACACTGTAAAGAAAGCCATGCACCTCCAAGTGTTCATCCATCTGTGTAAATACGTCTTCCGACCTTTTCAACAGTTCGCATAGGTCTGCATCATCATCACCATCACATCAGCAGGTGTATTAACCATTATCATGTGTTTACTGGTAAACAAGGGAAACATCGACACAGGAGAACTCTTCCTCCTCAGCGGCAAGAATGAGACGTCTGTCGAGTGGTAGTGGAGTTGCCAAAATACAGAGTTCATTATTTTATGTTATTTTATCAAGATTAAGCGGCAAGGCCTTGCTTGAATTCAAATATAGACATGTTGTGGGACTTGTTGGGTTGTGCAATCGTATTTTACATACAATGGTGTACAGATTATTGTTGTTTTATATAGGTAATGCATTGTGTATATTTAATTGCCCAGAGGGGTCAGGAATCCCTCGTTATATCACTGCGTGTTACAGAATACAATTATGATTGTTCACTTTCCATGCAGTCTGGGAGTCGATCTACTTTTGTTTTGCCAAGCATTTTCCTGGTAGTATTCAGGCTGTCGTATGTACTGTATATACTGTATAGGCATTCTTATTTGGCAAAATAAATTGCTTTATTATTAACCCCGTTTTGCTTAACTGGAATTGGATTCACCCTCTCGTTTTGGGGCTGCAACTAACTTTTGCTTTTTAGTTATTGGTTATTTTCTGAATGAATCGATTAGTTTTTAGATCTTAGAAAATGGTAACAATGGTCAAGACGGTTGCTCAAATGTCTGAAAAGATGATTTACTGTCATAGGAGGAAAGAAAGCAGAAAATATTTACATTTAAGAAGCTAGAATGAGAAATTTTGACTTTTTTTTTTCCCTTAAATAATTACTCCAAAGGCAATTGTATAGCTGACAAATGATCAGTTATTCATTGCAGCTCTAGTTGGAAGTCCAGACACCGCTGAAAAACTGTACCCAAGTCGTACAAAAGTACTCAAGCGACACCATGCTAACCTTCACCCTGCCACAAACTGAAGCTTTGATGCACATTTGGTGAAAGTGACTCGACAACCCTGTTCTGTTCTGACACCAAATAACAAAATATCTTGTTTTTTTTTTTAGATAATACGTGTGAACAGATTATTCTTTTGTTTGCCACAAACGTCCTTCACAGACAAAACTATCTGCAGTATGTCGGCCTACGTTTTTTAATGTTTTGTCAGACCGCGGTGAGGTTTGGCTCTGTGTTAGATCTCCTACAGACAAAATGTCATAAAACAAAAAAACAGACAAAAATGGACTATTTCGGGGTTTGGGAAGAGTAAAAGGATACCGCTAACACCAGTGCCAAACATGATGCATAACATTTTTGCAGCTGAGGTCTGAAACTCAGACTCAGCCGCAGACTTCTGAAACTTACCATTAGTCAGCAACAATAACACTAAAAAAAAAGAAAAGAAAACGTAATCATACAAAAGTTAAAAAGATTTTCCCAAAAATTTCATTTTATTTAAATGCCGTCCAAAACTCTGACAGTTCAGGAACATTCCTGCAAATGGCATAATCAATGTTTTACTGTTAACGTATCACCTTCACCTGCTCTGGAATTAGGGCAAGGAAATGGCCTCTTATCACGAATAACCAACATTCATTCTTATTGTGCATTTTTTTTTCTAAGGCAACATGGAGGACCAAGCGAGCCTTTTCTTCTGAATCCAGCAGCTGGTGTTTTGGACGGTTGCCAGTTATCTGCAGCAACATTGGCACGTTTTCTTCCTTTCAGTACAGCTTGGTTAAAGGCAACATGTTACACATTGAGTTTAACACACACACACACACAGTTGCAAACACACACACACATACACACAAATCATCACAAATCACGCCTCTGACACAGAGGCTGCGATTAATCTTCCAAGTCTTCCGATCGTCATCCGGTGTTTGTTAAACCTGATACATCATCAAACCCTTCATTGACTAATTCAGCCGCTTCACCTATCACTGTCACGCTTGTTCACTTTAAATGCATTTTTGACGAACTCAAAAACAATAAATTAATACACAAAGAACCCAAATTCCAGTGTAAACACCATCGAACTTTCCTTTGGCGCTGTTGGCAGCTCCCACTTTATACCAATAAGAATTTTACAGAGAAATCTAAAAGAAAACTTGGGCTTTTTTTTTTTTTCCCCCATCCGAAAATCAAAACGACACCCTGCAAGCTAATATGGATCTAACTGAGATGATCCCAGAATATCAGATATGTACACATACCCACATAGAAAACTCTATACAGTACAGTGTGTACAAGAACGTGTGAGCCACGTCTTGTACAGGGTCTCAAATCAGCATATTTTTTCTAAAGGAATAGGTCGACATTTTGGGACGTGTGCTTATTTGCTTAAGAGTTAGACGTCTGAAGCTGCAGTCAGGAGGCTGTTAGCTTAGCTTAGCATAAAGAATGGAAACGGGGGGAAACTGCTAGCATGGCTCTGCTAACAAACTCCACCTAGCAGCACCTCTGAAGCTCACTTGTTGTATGTGGTTTGTGTGATTCATTAAAGAAGATAAACTTTGCTCCCTACTGTGCAGGTACCGATGTTTCTGGTTGTGCAAAGTCTTTTAAATACAGTTGCATCGACTGTATTTAAAGATGGACAAACCCTCCATGATGACACGTGCAGCTCCATATTGTGGCTTTGGCCGTTTCCATCTTGGCTACACCTGAGTCCACCAAAAGCCTCCACTATACTCTACTACTTGTCCAGTTTGCTGAAGCCTGCTGGGAGGAGTCTGTTCCACACATGCACAACAGATCATATCTATGAATTCCACAGGTACTGGTTCCCTTGTAGCGCAGACTCTCGCCTACTTGGGGAGACATGAAATTATGTAAACATAAAATATAACACTGGCTTAACCAGCTAATCCAAAAAAGAGCCAAAAAAGTGGAGCATGAGTGGAGCTGAAGGGGCAAATACTATCCTGTGACAGCGCCACACCTTATAGCCTCAATACAATTTAAACTAGTGCGTTGTTTAAATATTCACCTCCCTTGCAGTTGTCACAAATGGAAAAATTAGCTACAGAGACCAAAGCCGTTTCTGTATCAGGCTGTAAACATGTTTATTTCTGCTGGCCACTTTAAGATGGACTCAGTTTTGGATTCAGCCCCAAGTGGCCACATGAGGAACTGCAGGAGGTTGATGTAAAAACAAGTGACTCTGCTTTTGAACTTAGAAGCATGTGCCAGATTGACCCTCCCTCTCCCCCCACTAAGCCCTTTTCTCTCTGTCACATGCAAAAACACAAACAGGTAAAGCAGGAGCGCTGTTGTGTGTTTTGCTCCGAGCCACTTTGTTTACTACAATTTATTTTCAGCGCATAGACAGCGAGTGAACTGTGAGGAAGTGCTAAAGGAATCTGACAACTGTGCGCTGTATTAGAATCACTGCCTCAACCTTCAAACAACAAACACTTTTCCATCTGACGGTCCTGACAAACAAAAATCTGTACAATCTGGCCGTGCTGTCGTCATGACCAGCATGTGTTTCTCCACCAGGACTGGCTCTTCTACTTTCATTACAAGTCTATCTTCCTCAACTAGTTTCTGCAACACAAGAGTCTCTTTTAATGTTTGTAAAACGCCTGTGATTGATTTTAAATCAACATAAAATGATACTGATGATTCCAAACACATCTACAACAAAACAAAGTAGTGTTTGTAATGACAGAGCATGTTTACTTGCTGACTAAAGTCCATGTTCATGGACAAGCGGCTATATTGAAATTAAACATGAGTGAGCCTAGTAGCAGTTAGAAATATCTCTGTCTGCATCTGCTTTTGCCCGATCCCAGACTACGCCCTGCCCAGAATTACAAGAAACCACAATGTGTCATTTTACATTGCAATTTCTGTTTGCAGTAAAAACAACAAGCTCTAACGTGTTAATGAGTGAGCTGATGAGGTGCTGTAGCTTGGATTTTTCTACCAAAAATCCCCTTAACCTCCAGTCTCTGAGCTAAGCCACGCTGACCGGCTGTAAACTGGAACTGAATTGTAAGTGTAAAGACACTAACTTCTGCAAAAACAAGCATATTTCCCAAAACTATTCCTCTAATTGGCGTAAATCTTTTCATCTTGATCGACCTGAGGGGTGTTTGTATGGCAGGAGGCTTCTCTGCAGCTGCAATCAGCTGGAGGTGAGCTCCTTGTGTAGTTCTGCAGCTTCTACAACCGGCACGTTGTAGTGGCGATCATCCTCTGTGACGAGGCACACGGACGGCCAGTCGTCCTTATGGTCGTCTGGGTAGTAGGTGACAAACTCCTCTGTGTCCGCCTTGTACAGTCTGTAAACTTGAATGGTGCACTGCAAGGCGTAGCCCAGCAGGAACATCTCCACCTGCACAAAAAGACACAAAGCGGCGGCGGCGTAATTGCACGGTTCGACAAGGAACTCCAGCAGACTTCTCAAACATGCTTTATCAGCTGCTCGAGCACATGACGCTGATGGGTGGAGTCTCTTTATGGAAAGCGACCCCAAAGAGGCTTTAATCAAAGCAGTGAAAAATAACAATTAAAACACTCAGTGGATTGTTCTCCTTCAGACCTCCTCCCGCCGATGGTGCAGCGGTGAAGCAGAGAAAACAGCACAAGCGGCGGCAAGTTTTACTGTTCAGGTCTCAGGTCATAAAACTGTTACACAAGCGTTTAATGACATTAATTGCTGTTTTTGTTGAGTGCTGACAACGGTTTATTCAGCAGGAATCAAAAAAAGGGGCGAGAAAAGCCCAGTGTTGTTTACCATAAAGCAAGCAACAAGGTGGTTTCTCTCACCTGCTCCAGGCCGGCGCTGAGGCCCACGTGGCTCAGGTGGTTGGAGAGGAAGGAGCGCGGACAGTCGGACGAGTCCCGAGCGAACAGCAGCCAGCAGAAGAGCGGGACGTCTCCGCCGGCCTGCATGCAGCCGTGCAACTCCGCCGCTCGGCCCAGCATCAGCAGCTTGAGCGCCTCCAGCAGCCCGAGCTCCTCTTCTCCGCCCTGAAACACTCGCTCGCAGAGCTGCTGCCGCTCTGCAGCCGAGGCGCAGTCCACCGCTGCCTGCCACTGGACACAACGAACAGAAATAAATCGAAGAACTCGACTGTTTCCGTATAGATCTGATCACTGAAGTTGATTTAACAAACACTAGTGCCACACTCTTAGTTGTTACAGATTTACAAATAGAAGAAATTTCTGTTATAAAGATCAACTTTAAGACGTCATTTAAGGTCATGCAGTGACGTTTTCTGTAATTTTCAACACTCTCTAACCAATTAACCCTCCCAACCTCAAAACCCACAAGCGGTTTCAAAAGCCGTGTTGCATTTACATAATGTCCAAAATTACACCACTTCTCAAAGCCAGAAAAAACAGAAACAATCTTTTGGTCCATGAACTATTCATCTGTCATTCAGTCGGGAAACTTTTATCAAAATCACTTTATTCCACATGTCTCATTGTAAAAATCCCCCTCAAATAAACCCTTTGGTCAAACTAGATTCTCTAGAATCAGGAAGCTCTGAGTGACTCAGCTGTGAACAGAAAAAAAAAATCCCAGAGCCGACACGAGACAAGTAAGGAAACAAATTAAAAATGTCAGCAGTATCTATAGTAAGTAAAGCCACCACTTTCCTCAGGTATTGCTAACAAATGTGGGCAAATGTTGAAAATGTTGGTTGGCAGAAATCACCCAAAAATGTTCCATTATTTTAAAGGTCAATTGATTATTTCATTAAAGGTAAAGTCAGTTTTTTGGTCAGATTCAGTGTGCTAGCTCCGTATTCCACTGTGTCTTGTTCCTGCTCAGGACAACTCTACAAACGGCCAATAAATAACCACAACAGTGAGCAGCCAAACTCTTCATAGTTCACGAGTGAGCAGACTGGAATTTTGTCAGTGTGCCAGGTTGTGGCAAACTCAGCCTACAGGCTCGTTGGTGGTAAAAGACCAAATGCCAGTGATGTTAATTTTATATAAACACCTTGTTTTGTTGGGGCCAGAATGTAGCTCGAGTTAAAAGGTCGAACAGTGCAGTAATCTGACAAACGTCATGATGTGGAGCAAAGTTTGTGTGACTGCCACATGACACGCTGGTCGGTCAGAGCTTCAGCTGAGAGAATATATTTATTTGCTGAGTGACACATTAATTTCAGCAGCGTTTGTCTCTGATGCAACATCCAACAACAGGCTCTGTTCAACAGGCTCTGCGTCACCGGTTTATCTGACTAATCTCTTTGGTTCTTCACATGTGGTGAAATGACAAGCGAGAACGTGGAAAATGGATTTGCAGCCACTGATTTGATTCCCAACATCCATTCCTGTTCTAAAAAAAAGGGGCCTTTTATTGGATATTTTCTTGGTGACAACACGTGCTGCAGCCTCAAACGTCATCCTTCTTTAATCACTGAAGAGCCTTTGTGTACTAGAGAACGTTTCCTGTCTACACATCCATGGAAAGTACAGCGTAGGCCAGCCTAACACAACAGTGTCTGTTCCAAGCGCAACTATATGGACTCCATAATGTCAGGCACGCAACCAGCACTGGGCTCCGTCTCATAAAGCAACAGAGGTCTGACTTTTGGGAAAACCTGTGCAGTAAACAGCAGAATTCTTTAACCTACAAGTAGCGCTGGCCCACTATAAATTCAGCTCCGGGCCTCATTCTGTTACAGTAAAGAGGCTTGTAACAGTTCAAACGGCTTCTTTGAGGCTGAGGGTCCATCTTTCCCTCCAAATCCTTCACAGCATTACCAGGCTATTAATGAAGCACAGGAGGAAAAAAAAAGAAAGAAGGAGCCACACAGCTTTTAGAAAGCGACCTCCCTTTAACATATGGTAGCAATCACATCCACAGGCTGTGTGGATGAATATCAATACCCTCACTGTCCACGGGTGGCATAAAAATAGTCCTGTGGTTTCCTCATGCTGTGTCTTTAAAATACTTTCTCACTGTATGGAAGTCTCTGAGCGGCTCTGCGGGCGGTACCTTATTTCGGAGAAGCTCCATGTAGCCTGTAAGCTGCTGGGTGGCTGCTGTCCCGTCTCCCTGCAGGCACTCTCCAGGAAACGTCCACTGACTTATCAGACCGTCCTGGGCCTCCAGTCGCTCCGGCAGCTGTAAACACAGAATTAAGATGATCAGATGTGTTCACGGGAGCTACCAGAGTTACAGGACAAGCACATAGTTTGTGTAGCACAGCATAAGCAACGTTTGCTTAATTAGCAGGCAAAAAAACCCGTCTTTTAACCGAGTAAACTGAGCCACCACCAGCTAGAAATGAGAAGCCTGCTTCAGTCTACCTCTTTCTGTAATTACAGAACCAATGTTTACAAAAACGACTCTCATGGAGTGATTTAAACAAGTCGCTCTCTGCTGGTATACAGTCGAAAATGGTATGAAGTTACATTAAATTAAACCTTGTTTGACGTCTGCAGCCTTGATATGGTTTAACTCCAAGATTCAACAGTAAACAAGCCATTCTGCTGGTAACAGGGATTTAAAGCAGGAGTCTTGTGTCTGGGGAACCTATACGTACATGGTCATATGGTTACATTTACCACAGATTTCTGGAAATAATTCCAGCTCCGACTGCCTCGTCTCAAACCCAAACACTGGAATTCAAAGCAATTTTCCAACATGCCAGCGTCAGTTTTCTATGTTGTCATCCAGAGGCCTGTGCAACTTAATTAAAGGGGCTCAAATTAGTGTGTGACGGAGATATTGAGGATATTATTGATATCGGGTTGTCTAGACGCAATTTATCAACTATAAGGTCCTCAGTCGATGCTGCTGGACGCCAAACAGAACAGCGAGGCACAAATTAAGAGGCGATGATTTATGCTGGCGCTGTCATAAAGCACCTTGAACAACAGCACACGACTGTGACACGGTGAAAAAGTTAACGGGGAAACCATTAAGTTTTATAAACCAACCTTTCAAGATTTTCTTGGCCACAGCTCCAGTCGTGTGTATGTTACGTACAAGCCCCAAAAATTTACAGTCGAGACAGTAAAACGTGGTGCCAAGAGCTCATGTTAACAGAATCGCTGTGAGACGTGGAAATCCTTCACTCCGTCATCATGTGAGCGCTGGATCGAGCTAACGTCCAATAAAGCAGGATATGAGCAAGTCATGATCAGATGGCGATGATGCCAAGATCTGCTCCTAAAAACACTGAGTCCATTATTGGCCCACATCAACAAAATGTAATTACTATGATCTAATTATATATTACATCCGTCAGGCGCAGTAAATGTCAAGTGAGGCCAATATTAATACTAATACTACTGAGCGTACGCTGTAAATGTGTCGTGATGCAGCTCATTGTAAACTAGCAACATAGATGTATTATAAGAATGATTTATTTATAGCTGGATAGCAGCACTTCTACATGCAAAAGCACAGCGGTTACCTTTACACTCGAGTTCACCTCATGCGACTAAGCCCGTTAACACCAAGTAGATCTGTGTTTCGCAGCATCCTGCAGGTTTAAACGTGGTGTCTGTGGTGACATTCCTTGATGCGTTAAGCAACCAGTCTGAGCTAAAGACAGAAGCAACCATATGGATGGAGTAGACAACTAGGAGAAAGGTGGAAAAATCCAAGAAGTGTCCAAGAAAAGTTTCTGATGCTTCAGACAAAAAAAGAAACTCTGCATTTAGAGGAAGGACTAAAGTCTAAAAAAGAAGGTGACTAACGATGAGGTCATAAGCACGAGTCCACGGTGTCTGCGTAAATATTCTCACTGTCAGACAAATGTATGTCACTCTCCCGCAATGATAGATTTTTGGACACAAAATGTAGGTTCCAAATTACATACTTCTTCCTTTTTACGTTAAGTATATACTGTTTGGTGCAGTATGCACACAATTGGCAGGTGCTCCTTTGCCATAATAATGCGCCTTTAACTTTGACTGTCTGTAACGCAAACTGAGCTGTCATCTTCTTGTTTATGCTCACATGAGATGCTGCTGACATATGGGATGTAAATGCACAGAGGATTGTGGGTCAGAGTGGCCAGAAAAGCATGTTGACCTACATACTGCAAAATAGTAGTGGAACATCTGGTATTTTAGGCCCACTACAGTGGACATCTATTTCTGATGTACTATATAGTATGTAGCGATGTACATTTGCACCCATTATCCTGACAATCGAAGCGACTGAGGTACCGGGGGTTTAACCGACAGTCCACTAGTATCTCTACGTGAACATGTACCTGAGTGACGTCCTCGTCCTGCAGCCAGGCGGGCAGCTCCGTGCTGTGGGACAACACCTGGAACAACGTGGCTCTGAGGGCACAGTAGTTGTCGCCCCTCACTCTCCTCACGCTGCTGAACTTCTGGGACATCTCTTTGTAACCCTACAGCAGCACACAGGGACAGCACAGGAAGCTTCTTAGCCATCATTGCTTTAATGTGAAGCACTTCTTCCCAGGAGCTGCAGGCACCGACCTTTTTAATGAGAGCACTTTTGGCAGTGTTTCCTTTCCACTCTCTCTCGCTGTACGATAGAATATCCACCGCCGCGGCCAAACTGCATCTGTCCTCCACCTTTAAAACTGGGCGAGCGAGAGGACAGAAAGGTGAGACGATGGACAGAACAAAAAGGACCACAGTCCACGTTTCACATGACAAACCGAAGCAGATCTCTGACGCAGTGAAAGATGTAAAGCGTGTACTGACGTTTCGTTTCTTTATTACTCTGTGACGCAGACAGCTCCTCGACTCCTCGGTACAGGTCTTCTTCACTGCGAGGAAACAGAAACACTGAAGTCTGTAAGTGCAAAACGTAAAGCATACATTTGGCAAAGATTTAGATTTATCCTAATGTCAACAAATCTTATTAGAGGAACAACACTGAATTTATGACTGTGTGTTCGATTCCTCAGTGTCATAGACCTCCATCACACATCAGTACTTTCTTATTAGCTGAAGTCATGTGCATTAATCCACAGCTGAGAATAATTGCCAACAAATGCGGCATTTCCGCCTGTTTCAGGAACATTTTCTAGAAACCATAAGGCTCGCCTATTTTAGGAATTTCATCAGGTGATCACAAAGTTTAAGAGAGACAAACTAAAACCGATCGTTCTGGTACTGTGTGAACTTTTTGGTCAAAAAGTTCACACAGTACCACCAATTCTGTCCTTCAAACTCCCAATCAACTGAAAGTAATCCCTTAATTTGTTGGTTAATGTTATAAATTCTCGTAGATTGATCGTAACAACTGGACTTGCTTGAGTTCTTTGGGAGTTCCACATACTTATATCCTTGAGGAGTCACTAACACCTGAGTTTCTGGAACTCCCAACTCGTCAGTCAGAACTGATGAAGCCTCTTGGATGAGAGGTGAAACGTCTTCAAGGAACTCAAGTAAGTCCAGTTGCTACGATTAATCTACAAGACTAACCATGATCTGGATGACTGAGAATCTTTACAGACCTAATGTTCAGATTTTTAGCTTATTTCTGTATCAAAACTGCATCACTTTCACTTTCTATGCTCTCTTAGTAGTATTAAAAGTGTCTCTGGGGATGAAGTGTCACAATGCTGCACACTTTCAAACACTCCCTTCATGTGCTGTGTCCCACTTTGCTGTTTCAGGTGTTACTACTTCCTCTCACTGAATCCGTCAGCAGATAAAGTGGATACCACACGGCACTTGATGCTAAAATCCAATTCAGGATAATAAGGCAACCAAAGCTGATCTTTACAGACCTGTTCCCCAGGCCGTCCTCCTCCTCCTCCTCCTCCTCCGTCGTGGCAGGTACAGCATCAGCCTTTACATGTGTGGATTCTCTTCCAGTCAGCTGCTCTTCTTTCTCAGTCACCTCCTGAATCTCAGCATCTTTTCCAGGCTGAGTCTCGGCCTCGGTCGGATTGCTCTCCTCCGCCGCCGCCTTCTCCTCCTCTTCCTCCTCCTTTATCCCATCATCCTCCTTCACTTTGGGAACATCTCCGCCCTGCACTTTCAGCATTATTTCCTCCCCAACATCCTGTTTGATTTTCTCTGAGGAAGTGACCTCCTTTGAGCTCGTAGTTGTACACTCAGGATCTGGCTTTGCATCCTGATCAGACTTGGAGCTGGAGAGAGAATCAGAATCAGAAACAGATTTATTGCCGGGTGTAGTTCTCACAATACGAGGAATTTGTTCTGGTGGGTTGGTGCAACAAAACAACAATAAATATGCAGGAAACAACAAATATACAGTAAAATAAAGTGACTATAAATACAAATAACAATAATAAAAATAACTGTAATAGTGCATCTTTGCAGAATGCATCTTCATCTGCTTTGTATACAAATAAGTTCACTGTTTATGTCTTTAACTCATATTATAAACTTATTAAAGCAAATGTGCCCCTGGTATCCCAATTTGAAACATTAAAAGTGTGTTAAGTTGCAGGAAAAGAAACTAAGAAGCTGATAGAAGATTGAAAGTCCTTCTGGTGCTGCAACAAGGAGAAGCTATTACGCCCCCTAGCGGCCACAATGATGCTATTAAAAGACACAAGCACACAGTTTATGTAAACAAGTGTCTTGTTTTGGTGTCACTAACTGTGAACCTACTGACCTCTCGCAGGCGTCTGCTGGAGCTGTGGTCTCTGGCTCTTTGTCTGAGCTGGCAGAGTCTCGTTCCTCTCCACTGTGGTCGAGTCCTGCCGGCTCCGGTCCAGAAGAAGACAAATCAGGGATGTTTATGTCCTCGCTCGTGGCCTCCCCGCACACCAGAGAGCTGCTATTGTCTGAGGCCTCCGTCGCGGCGCTGGAACCAGAGTGATGAGAAAGATTTATATGTGATGTTTGGCAGCTGCTCAGTCTAATAATGCAAACTGGTGACTGAAAGAAACAGACACAAGACGTTCAGGAGCAGTTTCTTCAGACAGATCATCACTCAGATTAACAATGAAGTCAGTCAGGAACAACTCACTGTGAAAGCCAACCCTGAGCCACTGTACATACTGTATGTACTGTGTAGTGTATCGTCCACCTACCCCATGTATGTAAATGTGTCCATAACTCTCTACGTATTAATAACTACGACACTTTAAAACTACTCTTTCACCACATCTATAGTTGTTCAGCAGTTACACACTCGTTTTACTTCTGCAACCTGCTCCTTTGACAGCAAAGACTGGAGTCAGATTCCTCGTATATCTTTAACATATTTGGCATTTAAAGCTGACTTGACAGCAAAAAGTAGGGCTGAATAGTAAAGCGTGGCTTAGACGTGTGTAGTAACACAAACAATCTATAAAAGTCATGATGTTATTTCACACTTGACGATCCAGTAAATCAGGCACGGTCATTAAGCAATCCTGATCACTGATTATGCAACACCTTGATGCCGCAATACAGTCATAGATGTAAATAATGGGGTTACAATTAGAGGGGTGGAGGCCTTGGAGCAAATGTACCAGGAAATGTTACTCAACCTGACACAACAGTCTGATAAATATACTGTAAGTGTATTTGAGGTGTGCATACAGTACTACATGGCAGCGTCTAGAGGAAACATTGTTTTAAAAAAATCACATAACGTGGTGCTGTAATGAATCTATGTGAGCTAATCTGACAGATTTCTATGGATTTGTCTGTTATTTCTGAACATCTGATAGACAAAAATGTCTATTCTGCTCAAGCAAATGAAATCCTATTTAACTAAACAGATAAAAATGATGTTATTCTCAGTTCTTGAGTCTTTAAATTTTTTTATAGAAGGTCTTTCAGAGGCACAAACAGATCCTCTATGAAGGAAAAACTCTGCGTTTCTTTAGTTCAGTGGCTCCTGATGTTTTTGACTTGTGATGCTTTAAGTGCTACCATGTCAACACACCTGACAAGTTGACTAAAGTCACCTGGTTCTGACTAGTTAAACAACATCAATTATTCCTTCTCTTATGTGGATTCTTTTAATTGAGCAAATCAACAGGAATATTCTATATTTTGGATGTGGCACAGGTGTGTTTTCTGTCTCTTTGCTCTAGTTGAAATATTATTTTTTGCCTAATGGTCTTTCCAGCGCCTCACATTGAACTTGCTAACCTGTATGTGGAACTAAAGACGATTAGATTTATGTGCAGAAAAACAGGAAAATGCAGCTGAATGATGATGACTAACTATAAACAACACAGAGTCCAAGTAAACCTCATGATGTGTTCCTGCCATGTAACTTACCAGCTCAGAGACTCTGTGTTGGTCAGACTGACCACAGAGACGGACGGCTCCTGACCTGCTGCTGCGGCCAGCTGAGGCTTTGGCACACTTTCATTGCTTTCAGCCAACTCCTCTGAAGGCTTGGCTACAGTGTCGTCAACAACAACTCTGGCGCGTGCTCCTTCTTCTTCTTCTTCTTCTTCTTCACCATGATGAGCTGGGCTCGCTGTAATGTGCTCTGTTGTTGTGTTCGTCTCAGTGTTTTCAGTGCAGACCGCCTCTGCTATTTGCGAGACACCATCGGGGATTTTGTCCTGATGCACTGAGGCTGGATTTTTTTCTTCTGCTTTTGCATTTGATGCTACACGAAACTCCCTACCCGCTGCAGCGAGGTCTTTCTGCGGGGAGTTTAAAGTGCATTGCAGAAGTTCAGCTGGTTCGCTGTCAGCAGGAGTTTCCTTCATCTCTTTGTCTTGTGCTCTGGTGCCGTTTTCCTTGAGTTCAGACACTTTGCGGGGAGAAGGCGTCGCTGTTTGGATGCTTTCCTTCGGCAAGGGTCCATTTTCCTGAGTGTTGTTCAGCTCCGTTTCTCCATTCTCAGGACTCTGCTTCAGTTGCGCAACGTCCTCATCGGGAGTTTTCCTGAGTGACACAACACAGCGAGCATTAGCTAAATCACAGAACACAACAAAAAGACAGTCAGAGCTTTACAATTCTGAGCCATTTCATTACCTATATAAAACACAAATACGCGTCCAGAGATGAGATGCAGCAGAAAGATGCTTCATAGTGAAGGAAGCTCACAGCAAAGACAGCCGCCTTTAATATTATCTCTTTAAACCTCTAAGACCTTTGGAAGTTCCCTCGCACCAATTGTGACCTTCGCACACCGTTCGTCACAAAGCACATCCTACACAAACCACAGGGGAAAATCGAACCGCTTTTTGGTCATAACTGATTCCCCAGCAGCTGGTCACAGCTGAACAACAGAAATTAAGCATTGTGGTGCTTCTAGGGCTGCAACTAACCTTTATTCTCCGTATCAGTTCATCTACCAATTAGCTTCTTGATATACTGATGAGTTGATTAGTTTGCATTTTGCTATGAAATGTCAGAACATTTTGTAAAACACCGATCAGTGATTGTGAAACCCAAGAAGACGTTCTTAAATGTCGTGTTTTGTCCACAACCCAGAGATACTTAGTTTAATGTCATATAGGAGGGAAAAAAATCAGACACATTAGGAAGCTGGACTTTTCCTCTTAAAAAATTAGATAATCAGTTAACAAAATAGGTTGCGATTAATTTAATAGTTAACAACTAATCAATTATTGGTACTACAAGGATGTTAACAAATCACATTCTCCAGAAGTAAGAACATGTTTGGTTGCAAATACTGCAGCAGAAGTCACATCATCATTAATGTGATTTGTCAGCAGAAAAGATTTGAAAAAATTAACATTCTCACTGAAATAACATCACAACATCCTTAAAAAATAATGGCAATACTGACGCTTTTGCACGTTGTTCAGCACTAGACACGTTTGGTTAACAGCTACTGAATTCTGTGATGTCAATACAATAAACAACACAACATTTTGTGATATGAAAGTACAGCACATGATACTATATCACTTAGAGCAATGCAGTGGCAATACGTCTAAAGTTCCCGTTTCAGGCATAATTAGATGTGTCACCACATCTTTAAAAGGATTTTCTTTATTGCACTTTTATGTACTTTCTGCACTGAAAGGCAGAAGGTTAAAATTGTTGCTAAAATCCAAAGTTTCCCTGATAAGTTTAACACATTTTAATGCTGACTAAAATTCTACACTTGTAAAATTTCCCAGTTCTTGCATTTGTTTTGATCTGTAGGTTGCTTAATATAACCTGAGAAAAAAAAATAACACTACAATGTGTGCCATTGAGTCAGTTTACATAGTTTCAGTCAGTGCAACACAGAATGCTCACGGCATTTTACCGCTGCCCCTTCACACATTCAGCGCTACATTTTTCCCCTGCTGGTTCTCTTACTTTGTGTCATCGTCCCCTTCAGGACCGCAGGTGCCGACCACTACTGGTTCTCCTGTGCACGCGGTGCCCTTCGAGTCATCTTTCAGCAGAACACTTCTTTCCTCGGCACTGCCACAGGGACTTTCAGCGTGACAGCAACTGTTCCCCATCTGCTCGCTCCCTCTGCTCGGGAGGTCAGGCAGGTCGTGGGCTGAACGGTGGCCTCCGGTTCCAAACAACCGCGAGCGACCTGACGAGTCGCTGACGCCTGAAGATTTCAGGAGTTCATGATGGAGAGGGTCAAGCTGCTGCTAAAAAACAGGAAACAACCACGTTCGTGTTTAAGAACAGTTTTGACATCGAAAAGGCAAAATGAGCCACATCACTGGCCCTATAAGGCTATTCAAGTTTTATTCATACAGCACCAAATCACAACATGTATATATATTAAGGGCACTTTATGTGATTAAAACTCTTAGTGGGTCAGTGACCTGGTCAGGAATTTCTGCTATTGGCAAAACAAATTAAATCTGCAATGATTTATTGATTAGTAAACAACTTTTAAAGTCATGACCAACTATTTTGGTCGTAATCACTTAAGAAAAAAAGGCTAAATTCTCAGATTCTAATTTCTTAAATTTAAATATTTTCTTTGCTCCTCTATGACAGTAAACAGATTACATTTAGCTTGTGGACAAAACAACATATTTTTCATCTTTGGGAAAAAGTGAACAACATTTTTGTGTCCTATTTTCTGAGATTTTATAGACTAAACAACTAAATAATTAATCAACAAACTAAGTGACAGATTAATCGAGAATGCAAACAATTATAAGTTGCAGCTCAACTACAAATGCTTCCTATTCTGTTTATTTACAAACTATATTCTGATAGATGCTAAAAAAAACAAACACATGACTCCCAATATTATTTTTGATTATCTAAGAAACGCTGTTTTCTAAAGCATGAACTAAACCCAAAAAAAGGCATAAAGTGTCGAATAAATATTGAGGTGTTAGTATTCTTAAAATTACAGACTCAATAATTTATCAAAGTATTATTGAAATAGCAAAAAGGCAAAGTGCAATATCCAAATCTCAGATGCAGAAATTTCTTGACAAAGGTAAGAAGTGTCACAAAAAAAACACACCAAAAAAAGCACTGGGGTGGTACTGGGGCTGCAACTAAACATTGTTTAATTGTTGATTAATCAATTATTTTCTTAAGTGACCCTTTGTCAGTTATTCAAATTGTCAGAAAATGGTGGGTAGTTTGGTAGGTAGGTAGGTAAATAAATAAATAAGACAACAGTCCAAAGTTATTCAATTTACTGTCATAGAAAAGCATAAAAATCAGAAAATATTCACATTTAAGAAGCTGGAATTTGCGAATTTTCTCTCTCTTCTTTTTTTCCTTCTTTAATTACTCGAACTGATTAATCGATTATCAAAATAGTTAATTATTATAATAATCGACAGCTTATCAATTAACGGTATTGATCATGTTCTACAGATTTGAGGAAACATGCATGTTTTGCACAGACTGCAGCAAATGTCACATAATCATTTATGTATTTTCTCAGTGGAAAAGCATTTAACAAATGACCATTTACACTGAAATAATATTTACTTACTTGTCCAAAACAAACCATATTGTTATTTTTTAGCACGTCGTTCAGCTCAAGTCACTACTGAGATTTGTGACCCCAATAAACCCAATATACACTTTATGATATCAAAATACAGCATTAGACAAGGTACTGTTCGGACATTTTCAGGGTCAACGTGGCTAAAATTCCTGTTTGGGACAGAATCTGATGTGAAATGTGACGCTGCGTTCATACAACATGAATTTAGAGTAGAAACATCGCTACACCCCTTTGTTGCTGTCAGCACAATGCGCAGAAGTAACGGTAACGCTGACAGCTGCTCACATGACTGTCACCACAGCCAGAAAACGTAAGAAGCACCAGCACACGAACCTTGTTTCAGTTCTACAGAAGTCCAACTCCTCAGGCTGTCGGTCATGCAGCTCCTGTTCTGGTTTCACTTTTGGTGCGCTGCTGCTTAGCTAGCCAGCTAGCTGCGCTGAACTTAAAACACAAACATGCGCCGCTAAAGAGTGACCGCCGCTCACTGGAGCCGCTGCTGCCGCGGTGTTGAGCTTCTCTTCAGACCGAGCCGGTACCGGTGGACGCGGCACATTTCACGGAAAGCCGTTATTCGCCGTCTCTGATGCGGAACATCTGTTGGTACGAAGCCTTTAGCTTAGCCGGAGCAGCAGGTCACGGCTCGGTCCGAGCGCATGACGTCATCCTCGTGTGCGCCGAGAGTGGCGCTGCGTTCAGGAGCTCCCCGGAAAACCCGCCACTCCAGATGTGGTAACTTAAGTGTCGGGCCTAAAATCGGTCGATTAATTAGAATGAATTTACATGTTTAGTCGTTACAGCGGTTCATCAAGCAAAAATATCAAACATACATTAGCTCTGGCTTCAAAAATGTTAAGTTTTTTTTCTGTGTTTTTTCCTGTTCCATTTTTTATGGATAAATTAAGTATCTAAGAGGTTTGCTGCGTTCAAGTGCTCTTAGTAATTTACCAATCCACATGTATACTTCAGCGTATGGCCTTGGTGTGAGATAAGTTAGGACAGGGGTGCCCAATCCTGGTCCTCGAGAGCCCCTATCCAGCATGTTTTAGATGTCTCCCTCTTCCAACACACCTGATTCAAATGATCAGCTCATCATCAAGCTCTCCAGAAGCCTGATAACGATCCTGATCATTTGAATCAGGTGTGTTGGAAGAGGGAAACATCTAAAACATGCTGGATAGGGGCTCTCGAGGACCAGGATTGGGCACCCCTGGGTTAGGAGAACTTTAAAAGCAGAGATGCAAAATTTTACAGCTCCCAACTTTGAAAAAAAAAACTGCTTTTCTCTATTTCATATCATACAAAATGTGAGTTTTTGGTTGAATAAAACAAGCAATTTGAAGACATCTCCTTTGCCTCCTGGAAGTTATGGCAGCAATTTTATATACAGTCCATAAAAGAGAGGTAAAAAATAATTATAAAAAAAACAAACAAACATGAATGGCAAGAAAAACTGTTTGGGAACCTGTTTTTTGGTCTTGATCTGCTCATAAAATGTTATACAAACATTGTAGTGCAGTCCTGTCAAATTACTTTTTTTAAAATTTTATTTTATTTTATGATTAAATATCAAAATATCTGGCAAACTATAGAGAAAATGCTTATTGTCATTCAGTCACAAATACATATTATATTATTTTACAGAATTAGCACCAAAGTATGATTTTTCTGTGAGAAGTTGACTGAAAGTGTCGTGGAAGGTCTTCATAATAAATATATTTATCTACGTATTTATTAAATGAGTATCTAGTATCTAGGGAGTTGTCATCAAACCTTTGTCTATCCGATATCAGAAAAATATGAATACATTTATTAATAAACCAGTATGTTAATTTAAACTGATGTTTTATTCAATTTTAATTTCAAAATGTAACAATTCTTCAGGGTTTATATAGACTAAATAAACAGATGTGTAAATAACAGAAAATATGAATATGGAATAAATTCTCCTTCATGTACCAGGGCATGTACAGCATGGATAGGTGGTAACAAACTTTATGTTTATTTCTAAACTTTCTCAAAATATCAGCTTGAAAAATGCAAAAAATGATATGAACATTATATACATCAAGCATTTGTCATTCTGTGTGTAAAAAATCACACCAAAACAAAACTGTTTAACAGTTTAAGTATCATCATCATTCAGACTCGCTGTGATTGTTCCCAGATCTTTCAGTCGCTACAGGCTCTTTAGCTCCTGTATGTGACCGATCAGCTCCTGTGGCAGCCCGAGCTCCAGCGCTACGTCCACACAGCGCTGCAGGAGGAGGCTCAGACCTTCACCTGAGCTGGAGGAACAGTCAGTGGACCTTGAACGCAGCTTCTGTGGCTGGTGAGGAACGTCCTGGTCCATGCTTTCTGCTCTCTGGCAGCAGTCCGTTTCTTTACATCCCTCTCTACAGTCACCCGGACGAGCCTGCTCCACCTCCAGGTCCTCCATGCTCTCGGAGATGTCGCTCACACTGGGAGGAGGATTCTCCAAAACCCTCTTGAGGCCTTCCACGACTTGGTCTTCATGCTGACTAACCAACTGCAGCAGGTCGGTCACTGAGGCTGGGACGGGGTTTTCCGGATGCTCAATCTGGCACCAGCACCATATAGCACTGCGACGTGAGACACAAAGAGGCGACAGAGTCACATACAATAGCACAGAGAAGTGACTGGGACAGGCATCTGCTGCACAGAAAAGAGACTTCAATAAAGCTCCGTACAAAAGAGACTCATGATGCTTCTGTGCAACAAAGAGGCTGAAATATTTAAACAATTTTACACCTCGTTCAAAACATGTTTGGGTAAAATAACATATACATTTCCAAATTTCTTCCCCAAAATATCTGAATATAAATTCAAAGATGAACAAAAATGATGTAGTACACTGTCTTATTGATCTCTATTAGAGAGTGGAACAAAAATATATTTAACTACCCTCTGTAGCATGAAACACAACACTGAAATAGCGTAAGATGTCAAATAAATTTGCAATATGAGCAAACATTTCCACTCATAAGACAGCAGTTCACACTATTTGTCTACCTCTAGTGGTGAAAGCAGGATTCAGCTTCACACTATTGATAAAGAGATTTCAACAAGTCAATACTGTGATAAGACGAACGACAGTCTGGGTTTCAGCTCAATGGAGAACGGTGAAATGGTCTAAATTTTCTTTTCTTAGTCTGAATCAACGTCTCACAAAGTGATCTGAGAATTAAATGTCAACTATTGAAATGTTCACTCATATTCCTCCTCTTGTTCTATCTATTCATGACTTATTTTTATTTGAGATTTAAGCATTTATTTTACCAATTTTAGATTCTTTTTTATGGAGGCAAAATTATTCTACAAGACCAAACATATTTGGCTTCTTTTTTCTGTAAAAGAAAAGGGCTCTCGTTGAAAAACAGGTTTGTATTCCTCACAATCAGGTATTTAAAAAAGTATAGTTTTGGTTTTGGGTAGTGTATCTGTAGGAATATATATCATTTTTAGATATCAAGTCCTTTTTGTTTAACAGAGGAATGATTGTTTGATAATATTTGTACTACTCCTTTTATAGAAACACAAAATCTTAACACAAACACAAAAACGCAGTTATAATATCATGTATATGGTCAGAAGGGTTACCTAAATATTTCTGGCTTTAAACTGAAGGAACATCAATCTATGGCTTTTTCATCGCAGGCTGTGGATTTAATTTGAACACAAATGATAAGCACTTTAACCAAAGAGTGATTTGTCAGGGATTTTTTGAGCGGACCCTAAGCAGCATTTACCAAAAAAAGGGTCAAAGTCACATCTTTATCTTTAGGACACTGACACAAACCAGCCAACAGCACACAATAAATCACATATAGGATGTAGCTTATAGCAGAAACCAGGTTCTTCGTGCATCTTCCAGCAAAATGCAGCTGAATCTGGTGCTTCTCAGATCCAGAACAGCACATTTCCAGAATACAAAACGGGACTGAAGGACACTTTTATTAGGTAAACGGACTAATGTTTCAACACGGGTCTGTCTTGTTATTATAATTTTTTAAAATCGTATTATATCTGCATTATAGAGAGAAACATTGTGGAGTTAGTTTGGTCACAAAACAGCATCCTTCATCAGATTTAAACTGGTGAAAGACTTGATCCAACATGAACCTAAACCAGGTGTGCCTGAATCTATTGTAAATAATCTAATCTACCTGGTTCAGTATATCAGTCTGCTTCATGTCGTTTCCCTCTTTGATTAGTGTATTACATAAAAGTCTGTGTACATTCTTAGTCATCCAGGTCAAGTACATCACAGCAGCTTCAGTACAAAAGCAACCGGACCTCTCTTGTAGGTTCCTGAGGAGGAAAATACATCTTATATAAAGATGGCTCACCTGATGATTCCTTTGAGGCGACCCACAGCCGCAGTCTGAGCTGCTCCCTCCCTGAAGCCCTGGTTGAATCCGTCCTGCAGCGAGGCCTCCTCCCCGGCATCAACTCCGTCCACATAGCCGTCCTGTCCGCAGCAGCACCAGTTAGCACGACGAAGAGCACATTAACAAGCTAATACAGTCATAAAAGCTTTACACACCAGAGTAAGAGTCCACTACTATATTATACACGCAACATGTAGCCCTTTGAGTGAACCACAGAGGCTCAGCAACACATCTTTAGGTAACTTTCTGAGGTAAGCTAGCAGCAACTTTACCCGGACTCGCTTCTTCATGTTGGACGTCCACTCTTTACTCTGTAAATTCAGCTCGTCTCCATGCTCGTCGAACACGTCTTCCCCGCTGAGAGACACGGCTTTAGCCCAAGACATTGTGATTTTAAAATAAAAACAAAACAAAGCTGTTTTTAAGAAGGCTGCCGGTGTTTTACTGACATGTGAGGCACCTGAGAGCAGCAGGCAACTCTGCTGCCTCAGCAACAGCGTCCAGCTAGCAGCCTACGTCATCAACCTGCGACAGAGAGAGGAGCTCCACCTGGAACAAAATGCTGCTGCCACCACATGTGTGCTGCTCAGTAAAACAAATACATGAACTTGAGATAATCCTGCTTTAAATATAGGTTTTATAATAATAATAATTTTGTTTAGTTAAAATATAAAAAGCATACTTTAATGTTTCGTTTACATAAAGTTCTGCTGAATTTATTTACATCTGAATAACATTAAAGTAAATTTAATCCACGAAACAGCTGGTTTAACTGATGCAATTAAACTGTCGATAAATGCCACACCCTTCAGTCTCTTCCTCTTGTATGAATTTCATAAATAATAATCAACTAACTAAATGCATTCTTATTTTTGAAGCATTCACAATATCACTACAGATATAGTAAATAAAGCTTTTTTTTTTTTTTTTTTAAAGTTTTATTATCAATTCACCCTTTTTTAAAAAATTATTGTCAGTTAGTCTTGTTGTGCACAGTCTGGGAGTGGCCATGACACAGAATGGAAGCAATATTCACAAGTTCCAAGCAGATATAGAAGCAGATTGTTGAAATTTGATAATATGTGTATTTATTTACAATATATTTATGAGACAAAATTAGCTTTAGGTTGGACAATGGCCAAAACAACTGATCTATCTGAATGAAAAGAAACAAGAAAATGCAAATGAAAAAAAAGGCTGTCCGCTGCTGTAAACTCCTACAGATTAACAAAGCCATCTCTGTGGCAAAGGTCACAGACAAACAGTCTTTATGCGAGTGTGGCTGGTTGGGAGGAGAGGGAAAGGAATCCTCTGCACAGTGACAGCGCCAACTTGACTCCATTTGTGTTGGGCATCCTGATGAACACATCAGTCACCCCTCACTGTCAAATATTATTCAAGCAGGCTGTTTATAGGCAAGCACACATGTATACACTGTATATAAGCACTGACTGTATGTGTATAAAGAACCTTATTTTCATTTAGTGTCCTTTCTGCACACTTTTATCTTTGCACAAATTGTACAACCTCTATAGAAACAGATTGATCTACTGCTTCAGTTACATTTATTCATTCAAATGTGTATATCTGTCCTGTGGATTGATTGTTTTATTGTGTGTAAATTCACTGGGAGACAGTAGACTTGGATTCAGATTCCTTGCATGTGTGAACATACAGACGTGTGACAAATTAAAGGAAAAACGTGAACCCTTGACTTCTATACCGCAGGGATCTGGTGGCTCTGTTTTGCTGTTTGTGGACATTTTACTAGGATAGTTCGGGTCAGTACAGATCAATAGAAAGTTGTACTGAGTGATCAGTTTAATCCTATGATGATGAGATGAGAGTGGTCTCTTCACTGCAATAGTGCATGAGGAGCTGAATAGAATTGATGAAAATGATGTGAATCATGTATTGTAGCATTCACAGTCACTAGATCTCAACCCAGCTGAACACTTATGGGAGATTTTGAGCCAACCTTTATGTTTTTTGTTTTGCTTTTTGTAGACAGTGCTCTCCACCATGTCATTAAAACTCTAAATGAAGGAATATCTTCGAGCACTGAAGCTGATCTAATGGCACATGGTGGATGGTTTATGTCGTTTTTTGTCTTTAATTTGTCACCCATCTGTATCTCCCATACAGATTTGACTACATTTAGCTCAAAGGTAATGCTGGTTCTCTTATTTTAGGGTAGCTTTTCCTTTTAAATGCTAAAACTTCTGTAATGTTTCAATAAGACACTGTGGTGAAAACTGCCATCTGACAGTATCACACTTCAGACACAATCAGTTTAAACCTGCAGGTGGCGCTGAAGCCTCACTGTAAAACTGAGCGTGGTCCACACTGAGGCTCCATCATCATCATCCTGATCTGCTAAATCGTCTCCTCCTGAGTTTTATCTTTTTATTTTATATGTCTGTTGTGTTTTTATCATCCTATTAACTCTGCAGTCATTTCTTATTAGATTACTGTTTGTTTTCATTTTCATTAAACAGCTGCATAAATAATCGTAAGACATTAAAACCTAATTTTATTTATACTTCTCCTCTTAAATAAAGGAAATTTAAACATCAATACTCAGATGAAACACAGCAAATTTGTTGTTTCTCTTCATGTTTGCACATTGTGCATCTCTGAAAGGATTAAATGTGGACGCAGGCAGTTCTTTAGCGTCTTAAGATTGACAAACTTTCAAATGATCTTTAATAATGCGCTGTCACACTTCTTATTCTTTGAAAGGAAGACTATTTGGGGATGTTGTAGTTTGTAAAAGTTCTAACAGCATCGTAGATTAGATTAAATAAAATGTGACACGGGCAGTTCATGTGTATTTATACGGTATTTATCCAGATCAAATCAAATCAGAAATTAATTTTAGCTTCAGTTTTAGGTAGATTTTTAGAAATATATAGTTTAAAAATAAAGAAAAGTACAGTAGTCGTCTTATTTTGCATTTGCATTATGAGAAAAAACTTATGTTTAAGACAAGAAATCAAAAATATTTGCAGTAAAAATGATGCAGTTTGTGTCTAAAACAGCCCCAGACTGTAAGCAAAAACAAAAAAGGTGAAATAAACAACAAATAAATGAATCTTATATGTTTCAGCAAAGAAACATTTTGTCTCAGAAGTCGTGTCTCATGTTGTTGTTTTTTTCCATGAAACACTTGAACATCCATACAAATGTTTAGTGCAGCTTGAACGCTCCGGCTGTTCAAATCACTGTCCGGTGCATCTCTGCAGCTTCCTGTTTAAGTTTTCAAACAAGAAAATGTCATCCGTCATGACAAACACATTATTCACTCATCAATAATGCATCTCACCTCCCTTTTTCTCACTGTTGAGTAGAGAGAGAAGAGGGAAGGAAAAAAAAGAAAAAGAAAAAAAAGCCTCCTTGTTTTATTTTCAGATTTTCTCATTCTTCATGCCACGCTTTATGGAAAACACAGGAGAGGGTGGACAGCGGGGTAAATGCATTTCACCTTGGCGGAGTGCATTTGCAGCCGCTGGACAACAATGGCCTTGAGAATACTCGGAGGCCACGGCGGAGTTGTCTCTGTTCTGGAAATGGAGTCGGCCCGGAGGCCTCATTCACAGCAGCCACACCTTCAGTCCCCTCGCTCGAAGAGTCAAAACAACCAGCCGGGGCAATCACCTGACACATTTCCATCCAATTTCCACTGCAGAATGTGTTCATTTTCAGGCTAATGGCATGTCATTTTGCAGGAGCCTTTGGTCAAGAATTAATCCTGGAATCAAAACAGATTTTCCGGGGAGCAATCTTCCATCAAGTATTGATTTTTTTACACTCACGGAGCCTGTACTCCCTAATTTAACCTGACAGCCAGCAGCACAATGGACTGGGAGCACCTTGGCGTCTCACAGAGGGAGCTCTCCTCCGCCTCCTTCTCTCCATGAAGTGAAAGAGAGATTGGGAAGGGGGGAAAAAAGGACTCCCAGATGTATAAAACAAAGAGCATTGCTTACAGAAAACAGAGAGATAAAGCTTCCGTCTCTCTGCTTTACCTCTAATTATGTTTTCTAGGATAGTGCAACTTGGGCAGGTAAGGCTGAGAGGGAAGAGGGGAGAGTGTTCTGGGGCCATCAGCTATCATTATGGGCTTGTTGACATCTCCCTGTCTTTGAGTGATTCTCATCTGTGATTTCCCCTGGCCATTTTCTGCAGATGCACGAAGAGGGGTTTCATCATGGCCCCATAAAAAGGGCCCAAAGTGTCCGTGCAGGCCCTCACTAATAAGAAAGCAAAGATGTGTCCGACCATGTCACTCCTCTCCCATCCATATCTGCTCTCTTGATGCCTTCAGATATGCAATCATTCTCTTTTCTCTCCCCCCCCCCCCACTTCGTCCTCTCCCTGTCTCTCCCGCTGTAAGTATACTATACCGTACGTAGAGGTCAGCGGGATGAGAGGATGATGGAGGGCAGGGCCGGTTATTTTCCTCTAGCTCTTAAAGCTGCGATGACCCATGTGCAGGAGAGTTGCACTTTGCCAAAGGGTTTTTTCATGCGCTGCTTACAAAGTACCTGACAGGAGGGAAACTATTCCAGTTTTCATCTGCCGCTCTTAACTCATAATCATCTATTCCAGGCGAAAATATTGTTTGATGTTTCTGTTTGGTTGTATTTTAAGTGTCAACAGACGATGACCCTCTGAGCAGCGACACTTTGTCCAAACTGATCAATTAAACGTCTCCAGCGCTGCTTCTGCTCCACCGACGATTCACCAGCACGAAGAGCAGGATTGTGTTCTAATGTGGAACCATTTCTGTGTTCAACTTTGGTAGATTTTGGCACCAAGAATGACTCCCATGTTGCTGTGTCACCTAATCTCTAATTTGGGTTAAATTCCTATGAAGCCATTTGGAAAAGCAGACAGTAGAATTAGAGTTGGACAGACGAGGGCCTCCCTTGTTTTTAGAGTAAAACAAATACACAGTAAAAAGTAAAGTTTTAAATTAATCTCATCTATCCTTCTGCTTTGGTGATTGCAGTTTATGTTTGTGGATTTTTATCAAGTTGAAATTAGAATTTGTCCCCGTAAACTGCTATTTAAATTTCAGGGTTTCATGTTGTGATGTTTCTTAAATTTTTTCTGCTGCAATTAAATGCTGTTTTCTTCAAGTAGTATCACAGAGTAAAGTAAAGGTAAGTCTAATGAAAAAAAAAATCAGGTTTTATATTGTGTATTTGGGCAAAAACCTAATTTGGAAAGTTGAAAAATTTAAAAATTCAAGTTGACTTTATTTAAAATTAAGTTGCAGCAAAAGAAAGCTTCATTTGAGATGAATATTTGCATCGCTGCAACTTAATTATCACTAATTTGGATGAACTTAATTCAATTGTGTGTTAAGAACTGAAGCAGCTCATTTATATTGGTCCAACAATTCTCTTTTTTAGTGTAAAATATGAAGTTTTGGTGGTTTTAAATGTTCTATGTGCTGTTAAGGCTTTGTGTTTAGGGGATGGATGGATTT